CCATACATAAATGCAATCTGATTCCAAGATGATTAGAATGCCAGATGGAACTGTGCAGATAAATTTCCAGACTCCAAGAGTAAGTGAAAATCAGATTAGAGAAATATTTCCTACTCAATTCCAAAGATTGCTCGAAAAAGTCCCGGTTGTTGCTTTTGATAAAACATGAAAGCCAATTTATGAACAAAAAACTTCTGATGGACATAATTGGTTTAACACTTGTAATTGCTCTTGTCGTCTTGAAGATGATTTAGATGATTTTTCAAAAAGAAAAACAGAAAGAAAAAATCATCACAACAAAAGCTTCATCAAAAATATATAGAAGGTGATCCATCTATTGGGTTACTTAGAGAAAGTTCAGGAAAATGGGATTATTATGTGACATATGGTTATTCAAATTCCAACAACATTGTTTCTGATATCATCCCTATAAGATGGGATGATCAAAAAGATCCAGAAAGAAACAGCATCTCAGAATACTTAGCCTTTGATCCCCAAAGCTCAAATTATTCCTCAAATTTTCCTCCATTACATGATTATACGAAACTCCAAGAAAATGAAAAAACATCTATGGAAAATTAAGAATCCCAGTGCTAGAGATGCTACAGGTGTACAAAAGTTCATCCCTCCAGTAGAAGCTAGTCTGAATTGGCAAGCTGAAAATGCTAAATCTCAAAATTTAGCAGTACTTCGGATAGAAGAAAAACAAAATGTTATGTCTTCTCAGCTGCAGGGATTAGCCCGCAGAATTGTTCAATTAAAAGAGAAAATTCAATTGTTGCATGAAGAATTGATGTAAATATTGTATACAGTGAAAGATATTCATGAACAGTCTTATTTACTGAGTCAAAAAGGAAAAGAAAAAGCTTTCTTGGAAAAACAATTGCAAAGCATTGAAAGAGATATTTGGATGAAATCCCAATGCCCTCGGAACCAATACCAGTCCCAATTCCAACCCTTGTTATCAAATCCATATACCCAAAATTATCCTACTTTAAGAAGTCCTGATCCATTTCCGCCAACAAGAACCCTTTACCTGGCTACTGGTCTTATTCCTCCCAGACCTTATGGTTTCAGAGCACTGAGTTCATTTGAAGAGGAAAGATGATTTCCTGAAGAAATGTTTTTTCTTCAATTAAGAAAAAAATCAAATATATAAATACCCAGTTCATCTCAACATCCTATTCCCAGTCCCTCAACTACAGTTCAACCTCCTACTGATTCCAAATGACCAAAACAGGAAACCTAAATGTTTGAAAAATATGATACTGAATCTGAGGTTGTAGCCTCTTATGTCCCAGTTCGAATAAATATCCCATCTAAACCTTTGAATGATATGAGTTCATTTCTCAAGAATTTGACAAACCAGCCTGAAGTCAATCTTCAATCTGAATCTCAATCTTCAGATGATATTTCAGATATATCTGAAACATTTATTGAAGATAAATCTTCTTCTTCCATGGATTCTGAATCTTTATTAATGATGAAT